TATCACCCTGACATATCTATCACTGTCACCCTTTGTAAGCACCTATCCCCAACACCCACCTGACAGGCTAAGGACCGTCTGGAACCTAGGATCTTAATTTTTGTGCCTCTGAAAGGTGCTTGGAGTTGATTGGCATCAAGGGCAGTCATTGTTTAGCAGCATTGATTTTCTCAGATGCTTTTTGTGATACACCTTACCAGAAATTCTGAACCTTCTCTTTGAAACTACCTTTCCCAATTTTACACATCCTAAGACTTTTTTTTTCTTTTTTAAACAAGGCATAGGATTTTAAGAGGTTGTTATATTCTGCTGATTGCCCCCAGCACCATCTTCTTATATTAAAAAGGAAAAGCTATAGCGGCAGTAATGCCTTGGCTAACTGAGTTTTTTCTCCTCTGGAGAACATTCCCAGCAGTATTTGCTGGGATATATATATCCAAAATATAGCTATATACAAATATATAGCTATATTTGTCCATATTTGTATTTGCATTACATAAGTAACAGGGAAGTCCCATGTAACTGTGTGTTGTGTTAGAGACGGTCGCAATCTCACAGAGAACTGGACTTCTCTAACAGGGTTATGAAATGTTACAAATCATAAGGCAGATAAACTCATTAAAAGCTGTCTCATTAAGTTCTGCATGGAAAAAATAGGTTGCTTAAAGAGCAGGGACCAACACAACCATCTATGTTTGTGCCTGAGGAACCTCGCATTTGGGCTGCAGCAAAAAATGGATGCTTTAACAAACATAGCAGGGTTGGAGAGAAAATAGTAGAATGGTGTGTCTGAGTACACTGTCTCTCATCCTTAAAAAATGACAGAGACTGAAAAGTAGATGATCCTATTTGAACGTAGCCTGGCACTGGAAGTGACGGCGACAGATGAATAATGGAGGATACAGACAGCTCCCTGCTCTGTAGACTATACACGCCCTTGAAAGATGGAGAAATATTACTCCCTTCAGTAAACAGGGTCTGAGCAAACAGATCTAGTCTCTCTCTTCACCTCTTAATGAATTGCTTAAACATAATCAGATCGAGGTTTCACTCTCTGATCTGTGAGATGCTGTCTGCGCATCCACATCTGTATTTGCCCATCTGACCCTCACACAGAGATCACACTTCAGTGTTGGTATACAAGAGGCATCACTTACACCATTCTTCATAGTTCTCTTTTTCTTTTTTTTGGAGGAAGTCAGTGAACATATGTTTGCCAGCTAATGAAACACCACAAAGAATGTCTTATCATTTGAAACATTTAAGCATAGCAATATTAAAAATGCATCCACAAGAAATTCCAAGTATTAGCTGAAGAAATACATCCGACTGAATTATTACAGACAGTTAGAACACCTGCATTGCAGTTACGTTTAAAATTCAGTTCATATGCTAAGCCAACTTTGTGAGTCATGAATTTCATTGTTTCTCAAGTATATTTGGAACCAGACAAAGGAATGATGGTTTAGGATCCTATCTCCTCAATAATTTTATGATGACTTCTGTTAATATTTCCAATAAAAAAACAAGCCCACTGCTATCATAGATGAATGGAATGAGAAATCAATCAAAATGGCAGTGAAAGTGAATTCAGAACCAAAAAATAGGTAGGATGAAGAAAACTGATGAAGAGACATGTTCAGACAAAGCAAAGAAAAGAATGAGAGTGACTGAAAAGAAGCATACTAGCTAATAAAATATGGGTTAAAAATAGCTACAATAGCAACATAGATATTTAAAGCTAGGAAAGCATTTAAAATTGGGAAAAAAATAGAGCTCAAGAATTCCTCTAAAAGGCCTAGCAGGTATCATGCTTCTAGATCCTGCCTTCAGTCCCAAATGATTAATAAGAAGGTGGAATACCTTTGTGATAGGGAAATACAGAATAAACACATGGAAAATCCAACCATGCTAGTCTCTGACAATTAGAATTGGCTTAGCATGCCCATTTCTAATTATTTATTAGCATATTATTTTCTTATTGTCTGGTATGAGTCTATACTTGAGGCCACCTAGAATTTTCCATTAATACACTTTGTTCTCTTTCTTCCTTTTCTTAACCTGTTTATGAATGCGGACGTTAGTCTGGGCATTTTGGTTTTCTGTGGGTAAAATGGGTCTGTCTATTGTTGAAGCCAAAACCTGCACATCCAAGCAGGTGTACAGATTCAGGAGCTAATACAGCCACACTGACTGTGAGGGACAGAGACATGTGCCACACAATGGGGATCAATCCCAACTGCTGAGAACAGGAGCTCTCCTTGAGAGTAATTGGAGATTTCTTGAACGGCACCAGATATGTTTAGAAGAAAGCAATGTAAAAAAAGATTTTTTTCAGGAACTTCTTGGAGACTAGGATGACATTCGAATTTACTCTAATTTTTTTAAAAGTTGCATCCACTCCCTTGGTAGAAAGTCTGAAAATCTGCATGACAGAAAAGTACCAATTTGAGGACATCAGCACAGCACGTTAGAGGTGGTTTGAAGAGAAAGTGTATGTCCCAATGGAGAGAAAATGTGTTACCACAAGCATTTCAAAAGAGTCCCAGCAAGGGAAGAACCATAAATAACATTATATCACTCCTGAACTTCGGTCTGTGAAAAGAAACTTAGGGATGTAATAAGGAATGAATACTATACACAAATTACGGTACAATCTCTGTCATAGGCATAAGTCTCTTCACTGACCAAAGAAGTGTGCGTGCAAATACACAAGTTCATGTGTGTAAAATCATTAGCTTTAGTACCTGGGTTCCTGCAAAAGACTATAATAAAACCTTGCACTCATAAACATTGCAGAAACAGCATATATAAAAGCATATTTGATCTTATTAGCTCTGGTTTTCTTCATAGTATTTCATTAGAGAGCTGTTCTTTCTGAAAGCTGGAGCTGATCACTAATTATCCAGCTCAGCGATCACAGTTATGTCCTGAAATGGTAGGAATTGGAAACTTGCTGTCCTTCTACATTTGCCAGGAAGGTCATCCATCTGAAAGCTCAAGAGATATGTTCAGTCACATTTATTTCCCTTAATTAAAAATTGTTCACCTCTAAATAAGAAGACACCTTTTGGCTGTCTCAAGCTGAACACCAAAAATCTTGAAACATTGAAGATCACTGGTCATTTAAAAAAATGTCTTTTGCCTTTCTATTCATATGACCATTTAATTAATTTTGTTCCAGTCTGAAAAATGTGCTTGCATACCCAGGAATTCAGCAGCTCTACCAATCTGCTTTCCAGTTTCACCCAGTGTAGGATGCATCTCACCAGCACTTACAGATGAGGAAACATTGAGGCTGTCCTAGGCTTAGCTGTAAGATGGGAGCTCCTAAGAGATGGAGACATGACAACTGTCATTTCTGGGTCTCAAACCATAAGCAACAAGGTGTGTTTATGCAATCTAATGTATCTCCAAAACCCTAGCATCTGAATTTGAGCTGACCTCCTTTTATAGTCAAGAAGATAGGAATCTCATACTAACATAAGCATCTGAAACAGGTTGAATGTGGGTTTTTTTTCCCCTCCCCATTAGCTTAGAGGAAGTGTAGTGTAACTGTTTGAGAGATACAGTACAAAAATTAAACATGCTCACTTTGTTAATAAGTAATACTTTCTACCTGACCAGGAAAGCTAGGCAATAGTCAGAGGAGTCATGCACTAGAAAGAAATTCAAAGACCAGGTATTTGTATGGTAAGGGACTATATTATTTGGATGAACAGACATATACTACCAGTTCCAATCCTATTCAACAGACCTTAGCTGAATAATGCTACATTTCAGATATGCAGTTAAAGTGGTCTCTAAATAAGACCTAAGAGGAAAGAATGTGTATCTTTTTGTGCCAAAATAAAGACGAGCCCTGTATGCTGACCGCTATACATTGTAAAAGACAGGTCACACAATCGATACACATGAGCAAGAAACTCTGTAAAAACTGCTAAAAGATACTCTGGTCAAGTCATCGCTACCATATTAAATAGTTCTTATTTAAAAATAAAAACAAAATGTATGTCAAGAATGCTTTAAAATACCTGGCTATTAAAGTGCAGTAACATGAGAATATCTGTATATTAAGCAATCGTTAAGCATTTGCATGGAAGTTATAGAAGGCTATTAATGAGAATGAGATAGAGGATTTAAATACTGGTGCTATTTGGCACAGTATCCCTCTGTGCAATGCTTCTTGAGAAGTGATGAAAAGCACAGTTATGATCAATGGTCTAGCAAAGAACTGAGTTGAAATGCAAGATGAGTTTATTACAGGGGTTGTGTACTGTTCCTCACAGTTGCAAAGTGAAAAAGCATGCTTTATTCAGTGGTCTTAGGGCTGTTATGTGAGGCTAGATACAGCCACAATGCACAGAGGGACAATGGGCAGGAATAGAGTTACAGTCCCCAGATGTGTTAAGAGTGAGTGATTCATGGAATAGCATGTTACTTAGTAAGTAAAGACTTATGGTGAAAATAAATCCCTGTAATCTTCATAAAGAGTTGAAGATCTTCAGAAAAGTGATGAAAGAGTTTGAGTGCCTGTGTCTTTAGAGGCCCACTTGTATGGTTTCTTAAAATTGGCCCTCTGAAAATGGAGGCATCCAAAAGCACTGGCTGAAATATCTCGAGTCTTAGGTTTCACTGAGCTGATGGGAATCTCTAATTTTATCCCCTCTGCCTGGAAAAAATAATCTTAAACCAATCAACTTGAAACAGGAGCCCCACTATTTTTTTAATTATTACTTTATTTTATTTCCTTTTTAATCTCAGATACAAACAGTGAACAAATCCCCTCAAGCAATTGACTTGCCCTTCTACAGGATGAGCAGTGATCACAGTTCTATTGCATCCACAAAGGAGGTTGGAAAAGTCTTAATAAAACCCATGGGGCCACACAGAAAAAGCCAGAATCAGTGTCAGCAACAGATCCTTCACTTTTAGCAAGTGCTGGCCTTGAGAACAAGTATTTACATCAATACAATGTAAATAAAAACATATTTCCTTACCATGGGAAGTAATATGAGAGTGAAGAAGCAGATCTTCCAATTGACGGCCATCTTCGCTCTTAATTTTGGACTTTAGTCAAGTTTTGCTTGTTAACACTATTATTAGGGCTGAAGCACACGCTCTCTGCAGATCTTTTGGTTAAGGTCTTCACGTCAAGGCTCAGATCTCTGCAGTGAAAGAGTGAATTATTATAAATATGGAAAACATGAAGAGAATGAAAAAGAAATGGACAAAAAACAGAGAATCCAACACTTGAGCTGTGAGTTGTACATATTAGACATCAACCATACTGGTCTGGATTGCAGCTATTATAGATGGTCTTGGATATTTAATTTAAAGCCAAAGGACATGTCTGTATGATCAGTAACTTGTATCATAGAAAATACTGAAACAGGTTCTGTAGCTGCAAAGACCTAAATTGTACCCGAAGGAAAAGGTAGGATGGATTATTTTGAACCAGAAAAAGGACCTGTCTGCTTCATTTCTGAAGTCATGATTTGACCTTCATGATTTTCAGTAGTGGCTCAAAAGCACAACTGTCCGGGGGCTTTTTAGGAGACTGTATGACACAATGATTTACTCCTAGAGATCACTTGTACAGATAACAAAATCCATGACCAGAGTTGTTAATAATCTGACAGCTTTTTGAGAACTCAGCAATAGAGGTACAAAGGAATGAATTGTACAGTCAGGCTAAAGATTCATCCATGACATAAGACAGGATTGACTTATATGGACAACAGTGTCATTCATATCTGTGACTTCCATTGCTTGGTCTCTGCCAAGGAGCTAAACAGGTGGTCAGGACATCAACTGAATTGCATACCTGACATTAGCACTGTCTTAGCACGTCCTGCCATAACCCAGTGTTTAAAAATTCCCACTCACTCCAAATCATGATGATTCCTCAAAGAGTTTTTCATTCAAGAGACCTTATCTGTCTCAGTCTCTGGCTGGATCCAATCCTCATTACCTTTTAAAACACAATCCTGCCTCAGATCTTGATACCCTGGTGACACAGAGGTTTCATTTGATGCCCTACCTACAGTCAGGTTTTTAGCATGGAGATATACTTTCATATTCATGTTCATGAAAACATTTCATTAGTTTTCTTTCCCCAGTTGTTCCTCACCTGAGATGAGGATCCCCTTGTATTGGGTTTGCATGGCAAGATTTTGGTAGTGGGAGGGCTACAGGGGAGGCTTCTGTGAGAAGATGCTAGAAGCTTTCCCTATGTCCAATAGAGCCAATGCCAGCCAGCTCCAAGATGGACCTGCCACTGGCCAAAGCTGAGCTCATCAGCAACAGTGGTAGCACCTCTGTGATAACGTATTTGAGAAGGGGAAAACACTGCTGCACAACAAGCAGCCAGAAGAGAGGAGTGAGAAGATGTGAGAGAAACGACTATGCAGACACCAAGGTCAGTGAAGAAGGAGAGGAAGGAGGTGCTCCAGTCGCCGGAGCAGAGATTCCCCTGCAGCCCATGGTGAAGACCATGGTGAGGCAGGCTGTCCCTCTGCAGCCCACGGAGGACCCCACACCAGAGCAGGTGGATGCACCCAAAGGAGGCTGTGACCTCATGGGAAGCCCATGCTGGCGCAGGCTCCTGGCAGGACCTGTGACCCTGTGGAGAGAGGAGCTCACGCTGGAGCAGGTTTGCTGTCAGGAATTGTGACCCCGTGGGGGACCCACACTGGAACAGTCTGTTCCAGAAGGACTGCACCCTGTGGAAGGGAACCATGCTGGAGCGGCTTATGAAGAACTGCAGCCCGTGGGAAGGACCCACATTGGAGAAGTTCATGGAGGACTGTCTCCCATGGGTGGGACCCAACGCTGGAGCAGGGGAAGAGAGTGAGGAGGAAGGAGCAGTGGAGCCAATATGTGATGAACTGACCCCAATCCCCATTCCCCGTCCCCCTGCGCCTCTCAGGGGGAGGAGGTAGAGAATTCAGGAGTGAGGTGGAGCCCACGAAGAAGGGAGGGGTGGGGGGAAGGTGTTCTTAAGATTTGTTTTTATTTCTCATTATCCTACTCTGATTTGATTGGTAATAAATGAAATTAATTTCCCCAAGTCAAATGTTCTGCCCGTGACAGTAATTGCTGAGTGATCTCCCTGTCCTTATCTCGACAAATGAACCTTTCACCATATTTTCTCTCCCCTCTCCGGCTGAGGAGGAAAAGTGATAGAGTGGCTTGGTGGGCACCTGGAGTCCAGCCAAGGTTAACACACCACACCCCTTCAGTTTGTCTCTGCCCTATAGACCTAATTCCTCCAAGATAAGCTGAGCCAGAGGTCCTTTGGCAATGTCTATAGTAGTTTAGGTGCAACATCTCTGCTTAGGAAGGTATGAGAGTTTAGCCCCATGGGCATGAGCTGTGCCACACCAGTTTGTCTCAGAGCCAGAGAACTGTCTCTCATCTGTTTTATTTCCAAGTGTAAATGAAGCCTTTGAATGCTGACGCCCCTTTTAAAATCTTGTCCGATGTAGGTTTCCTACATGCCACCACCCATCACCTTTGTGGGCATAAACACAACTGACATACATCTTCAGAACTAGAAAAATGTTTAAACAGACAAGTAAATGTTTGAGAGAAGAAAACAAAGGGATCATAGATAATAACAAATCAGGGATACAGGACACACAAACAATTAGAGAAAGAATAAAGCAAAGGTATATTGGAAAAACATTTAAAATATCAGAGAGTATGTGAGGAAATATAACAAAGGAGAAAAGACTGAAAAGAAAACAGACCAAAGAAAGAAAGTAAATAAAGGAATGACAAAGGCAAATGTAAAAGAACTTTCAGAATCAGGGAACACTCAATTTTTTTATTGACTACAACATACTGCCAAGACATCAGCATTTAGAAAGGAGAGAGTCTTTCAATTAAAAAATAAAAAAGGAAAATTAAGCTCTCTCTAAATTTTTGTCTTCTCTATCCAGACCCTGACTAAATGAAGAACAATGATTCATAAAATTCCCTCTAAACTGATCTGCTTTCTTCCATCCTCACTCGATCAGTCACTCTCGTGCTGCTCTGGTACTGAATTTAATTACTTAACTGTATTTCTGATGGTTTATCAAATAATGAGGGACTGATAAGATCTCAGCTGAGGAGCACAACAAATATCCATGGTGACATTCAGCAGTCAGGAGTTGGAAAAAGAAAGTCACTCCGTTAACAGAAGCAACAGAAAACCAGACAGACGCATTAGCAGACATTGGATTTGAAATTATTTCTTGATCGTTTGCACTCCTGTGTGCAGGCCAGTCCAGAAGGGCCAGAGAGTGGTGTGGAGATTGAATTCTACCCTTGGATTCTGCCACTGTAATGCATCACAAATATGATTTAAATACAATGGAAGGGTGGGAGATGCCTGACTAAATGGACGGACAGATACCCTGTGGGAAAGTGGTAACCCTTAGAATACGCTCTTGCCAATATTTGAAGATGCAGTTTTACTTTAACCTGGCACTCACTACGTTTGAAAAGTGGAGAGTGGGTGTTTTCTGTTTTATCTTAGTTTAAAAGGAACTTCTAAAGAGATGACAAGAGCATCTGCAAACCATTTCATTGCCTTTCTTTCACATTTTGCAGAGAAAGTAAAAGAACCTACTTCATTTTTGCTTTCAAGGTAGTCATGGAAACCTGCATCAAAACTGGGCTGAGGCCTTCATATCATCCACAGAGACTCAAGTGTTTATTAGGTAATAACAACTACCAGTTCCGTGAACTTATGCCCTGGACCTGCAGCAGAACCTGTATATATTGTTTAGCAGCTCCTAGCGTGTATGATATACATAGGTGTAGAGTCCACCTATTACCAATAAAAGGCTAGTTATCTCACAAACAGGTACTATCAGCTATGTTTTACAAGAAAAATGAACTTTCTAAAAATATGGGCAATGTTTATACGGATTTCCATTTCTATTCAGTACTGGAAAAAGAAATAAATATATAAATATAGGATTTGGCAGGGAAACTTGAATTATCATATTGTCTTCTGAAGTCACTGGTAGCCAAATCCTGTAATTTCATTAGTAAATTAGAGATACCGGTGCTTCGTGTTGTTTTATCTGCATCTGCTACCGTAATTAACATTAGTGAAGTCAGAACAGCCAGTAGCATGGGGGTTGCACCTTTCAGTTATGCATATGCAGTTCCCCAATATAAAAAAATCTCCAATTATCTCTGGTGAAACAGAAGGGCTGTTGAAGAGTCTGAGAATCTGAAAATCAGTTGATTGTTACCATAATGGAATGGGCTTCAGGAGATTATTTCAAGCATGGCTGAAATACAGGAAAAAAAAAAAAAGACTTGTTTCAGTCAGCTAATGACTTAAGAAAGTAATTCCTCATCTATGAAGGTGGATTCGTTTGTCCACTGTAGACACTTTGAGTGCCACCACAGATTCTTTGTGTTACTTAGTGGTGAGTCATAGGCACTTCAAGGACAGGTTGGAAAAGCTCTGTCGAAACATGTTTTGCTGCAAGTGCCCATTTCTTTCCCCCAAGGGACTCTGGAGTGCTTAGCTCATACGTGGACTACGTTACAGAAGCCTAAAGGCTGGTGAGGAGAATTGCACCGTGAGAAGCCCATAAGTGACAAGTGCACAACATGATGTCGGTAACCAACAAAAACAGATAGTGAGTCCTTTCCAGTAGGATGCGCTTACTCCCAGGGAGGCATAAAAGAATCACTGCTTAAAAGAATCAAACCTCACCATATCAAGTAATGGGTGGAATTGTTATACAGCATCTCAGACAGAGTGTACCTGTGTAGGACGAATGAAAGAGGATTTTTAGTGACTTTATAAGGCAGTTAAGAGCCATTACTGAGATCTCACCCGAAAGAAAGAAACAACCTGATCTGCTAGGCTCCTTGTTATGGTCCTCCGGGATGTGTGCCAGTGGTTTGAAAGGAAAGCAATAAATTTCAAATCTGACTCACAATGGCTTAGACTAGTGGTGATCAAATGTGAGTTCATTACCTACTTAATCTTAATTCAGTGTATAGTCAGGGCTGCCCAGCATATCCTTCGTCTGCA